GGCCCCAATTGGAATGAGTTAGAAGCTCGGATGAAAACTTGCCAAGCATGGACTTATGAGAAGAAGAAGATGTTGGCGTTGCTTTTCATTTTGCATGTTGGTGTATTGGGACTTCACCGCAACAGTCGAATCCCGTTGGCTTTAGCCAAAACAGTTATGGATGAAGCAGCTTTCGAGAGACAGCCGTGGGGTCGTCATGGATTCCATGAACTAATTTATTCCCTCAAGATTGCTAACTTGGGGGGAGCACGATACACTCTCCACGGATGTGTACAGGCAATGCTTGTTTGGGGTTATGAGTGCATCCCTATATTGGCTGAGAGAGCAGGGAAAATACGCCCCGATGTAGATGACTCGGTTGTTCCTCTTCTGAGGTGGACTTCATCACGGTGTCGTTATGTTTTCGAGACTCTTTTGGAGATGGATAAGAGTGAAACCGAGGACCACAAGGTACTTGTACCTTAGCAGCTATTTAGTTGGTAGAGTTTTTTGATAATAGCTTAGTGTTTGGTAGAGTTATTTATTATACAACAATTTGTGGTAGAGTTATTAAATGTGGTAGAATATAACATTTGGTAGAGTTTTTACAATTTGATAGAGTTTTAACATTTTGGTAGAGTTTTTACATTTTGGTAGAGTTTGTACAGTTTGGTAGAGTTTTTACATTTTGGTAGAGTTTTTACATTTTGGTAGAGTTTTTGATTCAGTTTGATAGATTTATTAATATCATGGTAGATTTATTATTATCATTTTCTATGGCATGGCAGGTTCGGGTTAGACATCTAATGGTGGTGAAGCCCTTGGAGGAAATATATCCTGTCTGGGAAGGTGAACCCCGACGTGTAGAAGTCGATATAAAGGTGCATAACATGATATGCGATATTCTGGATGGAAGCTTGGATGAGGGGTTCTGGGAATCTCCCAAAAACGTAGGTGGCGATGCAACAGGTGGCGATGCAACAGGTGGTGCTGCAACAGTTCAGACGCCAAAACAGTCGAAGAGGAAGTTGGAAACTCCACGCGTGGAGAAGAAAAAGAAAGAGAAGGTGAAAGAGGCCCCCAGCAACGGATTCAACTCCGAGAAGCAAAAGGAGAAGGGAAAGAGAGGCAAGGAAAGAAGAGACGAAGCACGAAAACAAGGAGAAAAAGAAACGTAAGAAGGAGGATGAGGAAGAAGATGATGATTTTAACTCGCCGGTGAAGCTACTAAAGGATGCAATTGAAGAAAAGAGAAAGGAGAAAAGGGAGAGAAAGGAAAGAAAAGAAAGAAAGGAGAAGGAAAGAGAGAAGGAAAGAGAGGAGCAGGAGAGAGAGAAGCAAAGAGAGAACGAGAGCAAGAAGAAAGAGCCCGCTGTGGAGAAGGAGGATAGGACGAATGAGATCCTCATGGCAATCAATGGTTTATCAACGACGGTAGCATTGCTAAACAGCAATGTCAGCAGTGCTGTAATTCGTATAGACCACCTGGATAAGAGGATTGCCGTTATCGAGGATAAACATGAAGAGAAAGAGGAGGCCATGGCGAATTCTGGGAACAAGGTTGACAACGACCATGGTAACAGTGATGATAATGCCGGTGATGCAGAATCCAAAACCTCACCGAAAACCCCTAGAGCAAAGGCATCTCCTCCAGCAGCAGCGCCAGTAGCAGGAACGTCAACGGGAGGTGGAGCAGGAACGGGAACGGGAGCTGTGGAAAAGGATCCGGTACGCAAGTCTCTCTTCTAATGTCATGGAGACAACATTCAACTATATTTAAACAGATCGTTTTCCTTTCCTTTATGGTAGATTTGTACGAAATACTTTTTTACTTTGGTAGACTTGTATTGATGGTTTTTTTTAACTTTTCCTGCACAGTAGACTTTTAATGTTTTCTTGGAATACAAGACTAACTTTATGTGGTAGATTTTTGGCAGTGATATTTATATTAGGTAGATTTATAATTAATTCGGTATATTTTTAGGTAGATTTAGTTATGTTATTATTTGGTTTGACTGATGTGAAATTACTATACATGCCAAGCAGTCATGGATGATGGAGATGCAGGAAACATCAGAGCCAGGTTTTCCTGTTGCAAGAGTTGTTAGAACCTCAGCGTCGAGAGGAAAGACTGTAACCAAAGTGAAAAAAGAACCTGCTGATCCTAAAGAGAAGATTAAATCAGGCACGAAGTCAAAACCTGATTTAAAAGACAAAAACGAAGAAAGCCAGATAATCAATATAAGCGACGTTTCACGCCCCTGCCCTGCAAGACGAAGACGAGTACAGATCTCTTCCCTGCAAGACGAAGACGACTCATCGATTGAAGCTATGAAGAAACGCTAAGATAAGCTGGTGAACATGCAAAAAATCC